GTGTGGGGGCTGGGCATGGGCATCCTCATGTCCCTCATCGTGCTCGTCATCGTCTTCGGCAACGTGCTGGTGATCACCGCCATCGCCCGCTTCCAGCGCCTGCAGACCGTCACCAACTACTTCATCACCTCGCTGGCCTGCGCGGACCTGGTGATGGGGCTGGGTGTGGTGCCCTTTGGTGCCAGCCACATCATCATGGAGATGTGGAATTTTGGGAACTTTTGGTGCGAGTTCTGGACCTCCCTGGATGTGCTCTGTGTCACGGCCAGCATTGAGACCCTCTGTGTCATCGCTGTGGACCGGTACTTCGCTATCACCTCCCCTTTCAAGTACCAGAGCCTGCTCACCAAGAGCAAGGCGCGAGTGGTCATCTTGGTGGTGTGGGTGGTTTCTGCTCTCACCTCCTTCTTGCCCATCCAGATGCACTGGTATCGGGCAGAGCGTATTGAAGCCATTCGGTGCTACAAGGAAGACACGTGCTGCGACTTCTTCACCAATCAAGCCTATGCCATTGCTTCCTCCATCATCTCCTTCTACCTGCCACTTGTGGTCATGGTCTTTGTATATGCCAGGGTCTTCCAGGTGGCCAAGAAGCAGCTGCAGAAGATAGACAAGAGCGAGGGGAGGTTTCACATTCAGAACAAGGAGCAGGAGCAGAACGGGCGAACTGGGCACCGCCGTTCCTCCAAGTTCTGCTTGAAGGAGCACAAGGCTCTCAAGACCCTGGGCATCATTATGGGCACATTCACGTTGTGTTGGTTGCCCTTCTTCATCGTGAATATTGTGCACGTCATCCAGGATGACATCATACCCAAGTACGTGTACATCCTCTTGAACTGGCTGGGTTATGTTAATTCTGCCTTCAACCCTTTGATCTACTGCCGGAGCCCGGACTTCAGGTATGCCTTCCAGGAGCTCCTGTGCCTCCGCAGGTCTGCCCTGAAGATGTATGCCAACGGGTACTCCAACAGCAACGGCAGGGGCGACTACCACGAGGAGGACAACAGCTACCCCTTGGCAACGGATAAAACCTGCGAGCTGCTCTGCGAAGAAGGCTCCTTCCCAAACCCTGAGGACTTTTTGCACTGCAAAGGTACTGTGCCTAGTGGGTAGCTTTGAGACGTGATGGGCTCTGGTGTGGCACACGTTGGTTATAAAAACGAGCCTTTCTCTCTATATAAGGAAAAACAACCCCCCCCAAGAAAAATAACGATCTACTTTTAAAATCTGGTGGCAGCAAGAAAGCTAAAGCTCAGCAAGCCTTGTGCAAACAGGTGGAATGTTGCTCCAGGAAGGGTCGGATAGGCCGGTGCTTTGTAGAGTGACAAATACCGCAGCACCTTCCTATGTAGAGGCAAACCCTTCCTTGTGGAGTAGGGGGGGTATTTTAAGGCTGTGCATAAAGCTCATCCCAGGAGGAGCTTCCTGACTGTGCTTGCTGTTGAACTACCTCATGGACTTAGTGTGAATGCAGGCTGCTGCTGCGGGGAGCCCTGCGCAGGGCCGGAGCCCCTGCCCGCCCCGGCGATAGCACTCGGGGGCACCGCGTGCTCCTTTAAAGTCTTCCCCGTCCCCTTGTCGCGACCAAGCGCCCCTAGGACCTCTCGTGGCCAGTAAGGCAGCCTTGAGCAGGAGTCTGGGTGTTGTCCAGCCCAGGAAAGTGCGGAGATGCTGCCCTGTGGAAAAGCCCCGGGAAGGGATGCTAGGACCAGGGCTGCAGGGTCTGAGCGCGGCTCGGAGGGACCACGTTAGATCTGCAGCTATTACCCTCAGTGGGGCCGTTTGAACAGCACCCAGACACAACGAATGCTTTTTGCCAAGTGCTGTAGGATTTTCATCTGAAATAATAATAGAAATAAATGGACTGTTTGCCCAGAATACGAGACTGCTGATTCCCACAGTCACAATGTGGTACTGGAAAGCTGGGAGAAATGCTGCTAAAATCACGGACCATCCTTTTGTTCAGACTCTGGCCAAAGCCTCCTCCAGCCTTTAAAACTGTTGAGTTTGTTTGACCTCAGCCCTCAAGTGACAGCGAACCCGCAGAGGCGGGAGAGGAGGCGACTCTTTTATTTTCTTTCTAAGAGGACTGGCGCTTCAGGGACACAGCTGCCGCCCCAGGACAGCTTTGGGTTGGTTTGTTTGTTTGTGGAGGGTTTTTTCCCCTCGCGGCAGGCGTTGCGTTTTGTTCTCGGGTTGCAAAACTTGGCTGCGAGTTCCCGGCGCTGTCAGAGGGGAAGCAAAGGGGCAGACGCGGGCGGGCAGGTGCGGACGGGGCGGCTCTGCTGCCGCGGAGTTATTCCGAGAAAGTCCCTAATTGGAGGAAACCGGCAAGCCGGGCTCGGAAAACAAAGCGTGCCCGTCGCCATCCCCCCTCAGCTGCTGTTTGAAAGGGTTGGGAGGGCTGGGAGGACGTGGACGTGCCACATCGTTCCAAAAACTGCAGGGGATAAATGGGCTGGCGGGAGCTGCCCCCTGGGCAGGGGGCTGTGGTGCCCCGTGGAAAGACGCTTGGCATCCCCTGCGTGGGCTCCCGGATAATCCAAGCGCCTGCCCTGCTCTGCAGTCGCTTTGCTGGCGCTGGGGACGTGCTGGGTCCCTGGTGGGTCCCCGGCAGAGGAGGACGTGGAGAGGGGTTGGGAAGGCAGCAGGGGACGGGCTGGTGCTGTGCACATCCCTCGGATACTTGTGTCCCCCTCCTCTAGGGGTAGAAAAGGGGGATTGGGACGATGCTCCGGGGAAGCAGCTTGCGCCATCCTGGGAGGTTGGAATCTGGAACCTGGTCTGTCTCCTGGCTGCTCTTTGCAATCCCTCTGTGACTGGGGGTCTCAATTGCTCTGGTGCTGGTACCTGGAAGAGGGAGCCCCTGGAAGCACCTGAGAGGAATCACCCCTAAAGATGGGATGAATGGTGAGACCTGCTGGTCTCTGCCACAGCTGCTGCAAGGTGCAGGACAGGGACAAACTTCTTTGAGATTTTGACACTGAATTATAAGGTCTCGCCAGGATTTCATGGGAAAGGGAGTGGAAACTCCTGGTGTTCCTTTCTTTTGTTCTCCAAATCTTGATTCTGCTTGCAAAGAGTGCTGAGACAGAGCAATAGCTGTAAAAGTCCAGTCCTTTTCTAGCCCTGTGCCGGGTGCTGGCTCAGCTCCCCTTGCAGTCCTTCCAGACCAGGACTCCAGGCAGAGACAGAGAATGTGTCCGAGAAGGCTCCTCGCTCCTGCCTCTTGCTGTCAGCTCCAACTCGAGTGTCGGGATGCCGGGGCCGCGCTGTGCCCTTGCCCGCTGCCTCTGTAGGGATGTCAGCAGCCTTGGAGCGTACCCGAATTCCTTTGAGTTCACTCTTAAATTACTGTCTGTGCTGCTTAATCAAAAGAGGGGTGTGATGACATGCTGTGGTATGCGATTGCTGGAGGGGGAAGCTCCCATATTGACAAAAACGTTTGCTCTTCAGATAAACATTAACAGGCTGTCGTGCTGGGGAAAACCCAACACAGCCCCAGGAACCTGCAGAATTAGGTGCTCTTTGCTTCATGCTACATGAGGGTTTATGTTGTATAGTACACGTACGTAACCACACTCTGGTTAGAGATGCACTTTAGATTAGTGCAGGTCCTTTATTATTGTGTAGCACTCATGAGGATGTGAAAATTAACCCCTTGGTAGTAGCAATTGATCTTTTTCTTACGTTGTTAATCTTGCCCAGACCCACATAATATTTTGCAATACCAGGGGCAAGGTAGGTTAGTGTTACTAAGAGCACAGAGGCAAGGGGTGTCTGACAGCACTAGCTGGCTGCAGAATGGGGACATGCCTGCCTTGCCTGGGCTCAGCAGCCAAATTTGCACCGAATTTGGAGCAGGAGCAGGCTGCCAGCACAGAGAAATCCACTGTCCACATTTCAATTGCTGCATGCATTTCTACTATTATTAATAATTGTTTGCATTTCAGAGGCATGTATTGTGGACCAGGACTTGATTGTCTAAATAATTCCTCTCTTTATTTGGCTGCCTATATTAACACTTCAGATGTTGCTGCTGTATGTAGCCAAGGCTGAGAGGCGAGGAACTGGCTTGTTTCAGAACCACTGCACTATCCAGAGCAGGAAAATGTGGAAACGACAGGAGATGTTTGGCTCTTAGTTGACGTAGGGCTCTGAAACAGTGTTAGGAAACCTTGGGCTCGCAATGCAGTTCCACTGATTTCTCTCCTCTAAGACGATACGAGTAAAACTGCTGACATCCGACCTGTATGAACCTCAGAACCTGCTGAGTTCTGAAGGCAGCTGGGGTTGGACGTGGTGGTCAGCAATTAGCTCCTGAAATCCAGCAATCATTGAGACATCTCACATAAAAACAAAAAATAGTGTGATAGCAGCCCAGTCGCACCTGAGAAACCTGCCCAGACCCACGGTTGAAAAATAAAAGTTGCATGAAGGAATCTTTCTGCCTATTAAATTGTTTGCTAATGAAAAGAAAATTTTATTTTTGCTATCAGAACCGTAGCTGGATAAAGTGATTCTAGGATAGGTAGGATTTTAGGCTAGCAGAGAATTGCCTCAGTTTAAATATATGTAATAAAACACACAGCAGCGACTTCACTTGAGGAAAGTCACGGTGATGAAATACCAAAAATTAAATAATAATTCTGACACTTGCTCCAATACCAGGATGCTTTGGAAATGGTTGGGCAAATGAATGCTGTGGATGCAGAGCCCACCTGGGAGCTGGACTCGAGCTTCTTTTGAGGATGAGCAGAGAGCCTTGTATCTGGGAAGGCTCCAATTCAGGCTCAGATGTGGCTTTTTCCTCCTTCCTTTTCAGGTTATTCTCTGTGCTGGTTACCTGATTTCTGTTTCTGCTTCGTCTCTGGTTTCCTTAGTCCCAAAATGTGGTTAATGTGGAAGCCTTTATGCCAAAATAACGAATTGCAGAGGTCTGCAGCTGGCTGCTTGCTCTGGGCAGTGACAAGCGCACAGCGGTGCCAATCCAGGCGTATCCCGATGCTGTGGGATGCCGGGAGCGCCGGGCACGTCCCGGCCGTGACCGCAGTCGCGTGCAGATCTTGCAGCCTCAGCAGCACCTTTGTGCACGTGGGACCCCTGTTTATGGTGGCTGTTGGGACCTGGGGTATGGCAGAGAGGGAACGAGGAGGACTAAGTTCCCAAATCCTTCTGAGAACCTGAAAACGTGCCAGAGCTTTGCAGTGGAGAGAGCAGAGCCCTGCTTCTCCGCAGGGAGGGCGGATGTGCGAGCAAGCACACGCCGTGCTCCTCAGCTCTCCCACGTCATGGCCAGTGTGTTTCTCAAAGGGCTTATTTATGTATTTATTTACTATAAGGGACATGTTTTTGCTGTGGAAGGAGAGTATTGACAGGGCTGGCTAGGAGTAAACAGGCTGCTATCCCTCTTCCAGCATGTCTTGCCCTTCTGGTGTTACAGTGCTCCTGCTCCGGGAGCCAAAAACACCCATGGCGGCTAAGGGAAAGACTCTTATCCCTCTGTCTCTTTGCCATCCTCTGCTTCTGCATGTTTCTTTTCACTGGCACGATGAATCCATCTCCCATGGAGATGAGGTTAGGAGCACACTCATTCCTCTGGCAAGAGGGAGCCTCTCCTGGCTTGCAGGTCCCTTTTCTGCTCTGTGTCAGCAGATAGAAAGGGCCACCCTTTTAAAAACACCGGGGAAGCCAAGGCTTCCTGGCTGCCACTGCAGATGCACCCAGTCCTGGTGCAGACCTTGTTCCTTGGCTGGCCCGTGTCTTCTGCTGGCTCAGAAAAGCTGCACCAGGGCCTGTGCTTTGAGTTTGCAGGGCCCAGGGCACTTCTGGAGATGTAGATGACAGAGCCCTTTAGAAAAGCCACCTTGGCATGAGGTGTTGTTCTTGGCAGGGAGAAATGGCCTGCCCCCCGGCTCCCTGACACCAGTGTTTCCTAAGGATTAAGGTTCCTTTCATTGTTGTGTTTTACACTTATATGTGGTTCCTCAGGTCCCTGAGTAGGACTGCAACTACTGCTTGGCATCTCATCCCGGTGCAGCAGCCTTTTTGATGTGAAAACCCAGCTGTTTCTGAAACTTGAACCGAGCAGCC